TTGCAAGGTTAGCCATCTATAACCTCGAATAACTTGATTAATTAATCTGGGTGAAAACGTGTAAGAAAGATATGCAGAAATTGGAGTGGTGTGAAGGCTTGACTTAGCTGAGCATTGTGAGAATTGCAGTCCACAGACATCTGCAGTGCGTTAGGTAGAAATTGTGGACTATATCCCATGGTGCTCATCCAGCCCAACACCCATGGAGTTAGAGAGCAGCCTTTAAATGTGTAAATTGCTCTGTGAATTTGTCTTGCAGAGAACAGAAAATGACACAGTCATAACGAGGTCACACTTAAGCAATACAATTATTCTAACATCTCGCTTCCTTCGTACACGTTGACACAACAATAAGAGGAGCCACCACATTTGTTTTCTGGCTGATATATATTTTTTTGTTATATTTCATTATTTATAAAGCATCAACAAATTTTGCAGCGCTCTACAATAGGTGAACTAACAGACAGGTATTTGCAAGAGGTCAAGTTGGACACACAGGAACAGAGGTTGTTGAGGGCCCTGCTCAAACAAGGTTACATTTTAAGGGGAGTGGGGTAAAGTGACACGAGGTAAAGGTAAGATCAGGGGCATACATAGGAATCACAGGGCTCCCTTTATGTTCTCACTGATATACATACACTGACATACACTCACCGACAGACATATAGTCATTGGCACACAAACCAACACACATTTTCAGTGACCGAAATACACACGCACTAAACTAGTGAGCACAGGAAAGTAGGACTATGTTATGTAGATATCTATATGCAAATAACAGAATTTTAAATTGAGCCCTAAATCTTACGGAAAGCCAATGTAAGGACTGACAGAGGAGGGTGGCATGAAAGATGTGGGAGGACAGGAAGATGAGCCTCACTACAGAATTCATTACAGACTGGCGGGAGAAGATAGTGGCAAAGACTAACACTTTAGCTGTATTCAGTGTTTGATATTGCAGGATGCAAACTAAGTTTTTGAGATGGAAGCGGAAAGATTAAGCGATTGACCAGAGAGGTTGGAATCAAAGAAAACATCTACGCAGTAAGCTTATGAGGTAGAGAAGGAGGCAGATACGGGGGTAATTATGCTTTAGGAAGGTTGAGAAGTTCTGTTTTGGAGAGTTTAAGTTTAAGGAAGTGAGCAGCCATCCAGTTAGATATAGCAGAAAGTCCGAAACACAAATAAGGAGAGACGGTGAGAGAGGAGGAGAGTACAGAAAGATTTGTGTTTCATCTGCATATAAGTGATTTTGGAAGCCAAAGGAGCTGTTGAGTTTACCAAGGGAGGCAATATAGATTGAGAACAGTAGGGGAGCAAGGAGAAGGCTTATGTGTCAGGATTACAAGTTGATCCAGCACGCAGTACTGTGTCACAGCTAGGACTAAGGATAACGTATAACCGGACCTTAGAATGACCGGACTTAATGTCTCCAAGAATAGTCAAAATACTTGCCGAGGTCAGGAACACAGAATCAGACACAAAGATGAGGGAAAGCCAAAAGTCAAGGATACCTGATATCAGGGAAGTCAAAACAAAGCCAAAGTCAAATACCAGAAAATCAAGATCAGGATCGCACTCTCGGATAACCATAGGCATGAAACCACAACAAGGCAATGAGCAAGAGGAGAATTGGGTTTAAATACCCCTCCTGTGGATCCGATTGGCTGTAACCAGCCTTTGACCCCAAAGGCAATTACCAGGTTACCATGTGCATGATTGGTGCTCAGCACAAACCCTCCTGTGGATTTGATTGACCATGAACGGCCTTTGACCCCAAAAGTAATTACCAGGTTTCCATGTGCATAATTCCTGCTCGGCACAACTTTTTCTGTCAGGACAGTAAATGCCATTAACCACATTTTTATGTGCGGATAAATACGTGACATTATGGAGGAGAGCAAGAGCTTGAAAAGTTAACACTGAAAAAGAGCTGGGAGAGGTAGAAGGAGAACCAGGAATGAGCAGTGTCTCGTAGACCGAGTTTACAAAGGATGAGAAGAAGGTGTTGATGCTCAATAATGCCGAAAGCAGTAGAGAGGTTGAGGAGTAGTGATGTCCCGAACGGTTCGCGAACGGTTTGCTGCGGTTCGCCATGGACTCCAGTCAGCAGACACATTCCAGCCAATCAGCAGCAGACCCTCCCTCCCAGACCCTCCCACCTCCTGGACAGCATCCATTTTGAAGCTGCATTCTTAGTGAGCTGTCCAGGAGGTGGGAGGGACTGGGAGGGAGGGTCTGCTGCTGATTGGCTGGAATGTGTCTGCTGACTGGAGTCCGTGGCGAACCGTTCGGCGAACAGTTCGGGACATCACTATTGAGGAGAATTAGAAGAAAGTAGTGACCAATGGATTTAGCAACAATTACTTTGGATACTTTAGTCAAGGCTGTTTCAACAGAGTGATAAATGTGGAATCCACACTGAAGCAGATCAAGCGTTAGAGAGTTAGATTCACAAAGTTGGTCAATCTTGCATAAACAACTCTCTTGAGGATCTTGTAGGCAAATGATATTGAGATAGGACAGTATTTGGTTGGTGATTTGGGGCTTTTTTAGAACAGGGGTGTGGTTGAATGCATGAAATGTGAAGGAAACTTAACAGAGAAGAGTGATAGATTGAAAATTTCAATGAGGGGCAGAGCAAGAGTTGGAGACAGAGCGTGAATAGAAAGAGAGGGAATAGAATCGAGGGATCAAGTGGTGGGGCTTGAGGACTTAAGCAGGGCAGAAAATAGACATGTGCAATTTGTTTCGGTCCGAATGCGAATTCGGACGAATTTCGGGCAATTCGGATACTTCCGAATGTCCGAATAGTTGAATTGCCCAAGTTCCAAAATTGCTGAATTGCCCAAGTTCCGAAGTGCTGAAGTTCCGAAGCACAATATTGCCTAAGTACTAATATACTCAGGTCCCCCCCCATTTTTACTTTAGAGCCCCCACTCGCGCGCCACGGGTGGGGGCTTGGGAGAGGGGACACTTTTTTTTTTTTTTTACAGTGAGCAGCCACTGGCGGTATAGCGAGTAGGAGCATAATTTGCTAATACTAAGTAATTTTTACTTAGTATTAGTAAATTTGGCTGAAAGACCAATTCAGGTCTTTCAGCCTTTTGGTAGATAACTCCCTAATACTGTGGGAATTAGGGAGTTATCTACTAAGCGGCTAAAAGAGAAGCTTGAAGGGGCGAAATGTCAAAATGCCGAAGTCCCGAATTGGCGAAGTCCCGAATTTCGGAATGCCGAAGCGAACCGAAAATTTTCCCCATGCACATGCCTAGCAGAAAACTCTTCTGACATAGATGCAAGTGAGCAATTTACTATGCAAGTTATAGTAAACGTAGACTGGATTTCAGGCTGTCCTTTTTCATCCGAACAGATGAGATCTGAAACCGAACAATAGGCATATGCAACCGAATACTTATATACAACAGAAGTAGCCACTATCTGACAGCATAATCAGCAGAGCCAACTTTACCTGTAGGTAGTGGTCAGATAGTTGCAGATAATGGTTAGATAACTAACTGCTACGGAAATATCTATAGTGGGATAAATTATGCCCCAATAACTAAAACAAAAACATTTAGGTTATAAAGTAAATATTTTGTGATTATTTAAACAGAATTATATATGAAATCCATCTACCTCTGCAGATGTGGTTGCTATAAGCTGATAGGGTGCTGTTTTTTTTCCACTCTGAAGGACAGTCACTCATGTAAAGTACTGGACAGGTGGGAAAGCTTTGTTCGTTTCAAAAGAAAAAGTAGTGACCGTCCTTTGTTGTGGAAAAATAACAGTGCCTTATCAGCTTATACCAACTGCATCTGTGGCGGTAGGAGGTGTAGTTATAAAGCAAGACTCAGCCAAGCAGGGCAAAACTACAACATTGAAGGTTTTTTTTAAAAAGGAGGTGGTAAATGGTGAGAACTGCACAGAATCAGATACAGTACCAGTGGACATGGTGCTTGCCCTAATGCATTGTTTTTCTGCTCCGTCTCCTAGTCAGATTCCTCTTGGGCCAGACTAAAAGGAACACTCTGGGCACCATAACAACTTCATCAAATAAAGTTGTCACGTTGTGAGGAGGTAGTTCTAGTGGTGGTGGTGGCAGTTGTGTAGAAGGTGTCAGCAGTCCTCATGGTCAAGTAAGAGGTGTTAAGGCTCTGAGAGGCCATGGTACGTCTGCCGATAGTGGATTTGGGATTTCGACCACTACCTTTTCTCAATTTCTTCTTGGGACATAGCACTGATGATGGATTCGTTTTTTTTAAAATTAAAATAAATTGGCATATCAAGGTGTTTTATCTAAAGAAAATTTGTTTTATAAAAATTAGCACAACTTTATTAAGCCAAAATAGATGTTTGTGTTGAATACAGTGGTTTGATGTTTGGTAGATTTACTACTGAAACACTACACTGCACACACTGGACTGAACACACTCAGAAAAAAAGGATTTTCTTTAAATCCTAAGAATTAAAATTACTTTTTATTCCCAGGAATTAAAACTTACAGTGTTATTTACTAAAGTGAGAATTCAAAGTGAATTTTAAATATAAGGCCAAAATGAAAGCATCCCTGGCTTACACAGAGTCCCTTTGTAGTCCTAATACTCTTACTGATGGATTGTAATTAAAAGGAAGTCATAAAATCAGTTAGAATTTACTCCTTAATAGCGATGTCTAAGATCCCACTGATCATGTTACATTATATGAAACAATTCACATTTTCACATCCTAAAGCATTAAACATCTAAAACTGAGAATGCAATTAACCTGTAACTGGTAAAGGGGACTTCATCACATTTACTGTTAATGGTTTATAATTATTTTTTAATGAAAATGTCTTACAAGAGTGTTTCACATGTGTTTACTTATTTATTTTTACATTATTAAAAAACAATACAGTTGACCCGATAATGAACACATTTATTAGAAGGTAATAGACGATTGTGTGCTCTAGTTAACAGCCTATTTCCTCGTTTTTTTTGGTTTTTTTTGTGTGTGAAATTGAATGGAAGTCACTTTACTGATTTCTAAAAAGCTTTTAAAAGAAACATGCAGATAAAAATGCATTTTCCTATGAATTTCTCTTTTACAGAAAAGTATGGTAGACTGAAGTAATGAACTGAGTCTATAAGTCATGGTAAAGAGAATATATTGTGACAGGTTCATTTTAAAGGGACACTTAATGCACCCAGACCAATTCATCTCAATAAAGTGGTCTATGTACATTGCCCCTGTCCGTTTAGCCCTGCAATCCAAAACATTGCCGTTTGGTATATACAGCAATGTTCTGATTGAATGTTAAAAAAAAGTCTTTAGCGGCTGTCTTCCTGACAGCTACTAGAGGTGTTTCCCTACTCATAACCATGTTTGATTTGGTTATCCTCACTTATTGCAGCTAATGCTTCCCTATGAGAAGAATTTGATAGGACGGGCACAGCGCTTGCCATGCATAGGATTCTCGCCTGCAATTATTCTCCATGACAATCATTTGAATGGAGGGGAAGTGTCAGCAGACAAGAAGACGACACAGGAGAGGATGTTGACGGGAAGGACTGTGACGCAGCACTGGAAACAAGGTAAGAAACAGAGTATTTAGAAGGAAAGGTTAACACTCAAAGAGGGGTGGCAGGGAAGGCATTTAAATGATCAAAAGGATAAAAATGAGTATGTAATTCTTTCATTAGTTTCCCTTTAAGCCAGGGTTGTGGGTTGGGGTCTGGCCTGGACTGGATCCGCAAGTGCAATACCGAAAAGCTCCAAAATGGATTTATTTATTTTTTCCACTAAAATTTTTGTTTGTTAATCTTGCAAATAAACGATTTACAGCCCAATTTAAGTTGTAACAGATATTTTAATTTATAGGTTTGCTTAAAACAAGAGAGAGGAAAGAGAGGATGGGGAGAGAAAGACGAGAGGGGGAGTGCTGAGGTTCACTTGTACCTTTACAGAGACAACCTTAGCCAGTCGGAAATCAGGCTGATCTCAGCCAGACACATAATTTGACTCTTCGCTCCATTTAGCAGGATTTAAATCTTATAAGTCTTAGGACACAAAATTAAGATAATCGTTCTAAACGCCAAGGGTTGTTTGTTCTTCTTGGAAATAATGCAGACATGGTTATATGCTAGAATGAGATTGTTATCTTGAGAAACCAGTGTCTGTTCAATGCCATTAAAAGGACTGCTATAAAAGGACGTTAGCAGGGATGTGCCCTGGGAAGATCCAGTTGTATGTGCATTTATGTGTGCGGGTATAGACTATCAAGGCCTATAGAGCCTTATCACCTGTATGTTTCCTAATATGGGTACTGAAGAACACAGACAGATGAATGCGCTGTGTGTGTGGGTCTCTTTCATATTTGCTGACAACAAACAAATTTTAAGAACAAAAAATGCCTTTTTAGTATCAACATTAAAGGACCACTCCAAGCACCATAACCACTACAATTCGCTCAAACTGTTTTACAAAGCTTTGACTTCTTACCTGGAGTCCACCAGGAATCACTTCCACTAACTTCTTAACTTCTTACTAATGACAGAGAGACGGAAGCTCCTAAGCAGGAGCTTTTGTTAACGCTCGTGTAATGCAAGGCTAGCTCATTGGCTGAGATTGTCAGCTGATTGCTCTTGACCAATAAGCTAAGCCCTGCACTGCATAGCCTAATTCAAAGAGCTTCCAACTCTCCGTCAGTAGTGGAGGAGAGCAGCGGCGCTTGGCGGACTTCAAACTAAGAAGCCAAACCTTCCTAAAATGGTTTGACTACTTACAACGAGGGAAGAGGATTGCTAGGACACCTCTGGCACCATAACCACTGTAGCGAGCAAATAACCTTATGTATGGGTACATTTTCTATTTTTTTTTTTTTTTCAAATTTTTATTGGGAAATAATGCAAGATTACAACATCTGTTTTGCAGTATACAATCTGGTATCAACGAACTTTTGTATGTCATACATTGTTACCATGCTTGAGAGTCCAGAACGGTTGTGGTAACTGTTCGAGCACGTTACGTTTTAGCATTCGTTTGTGTGCGGTACCCTTGGACAGAGTACTCGAGTGCGGTTTGATTTTAGTCGTTGTTCACTTTGCATGGGTGGTGTGTTATTAACATACAAGTAGAAATCAAAACATAACATAACATAACAGTACATTGGGGTGGGTGATGAACTTTCCTGGTATAGCTAGTATGTACCATCGTGGCGTAGAACCTCGTCAGTGTGGATTGTTGCGTTGTGGTAGATTTGTCTGTTTGGGTATGTGGGTCTAAAGCCTTTGTGGAGGTGTGTTACGTATGAAAGTTAACCATGGTTGCCAAGTGGCCGTGTAGTCGTGGTATTTGAGAGAAAAGGAGTACGCTAGCTCCTCCATTTCTCTGATAGCGTCTACCCTTTCTATCCAGGCTCTGAACGTAGGGGGTGCAGTTTGCTTCCATTTGGTTGGGATGATGGCGTTTGCTGCCGTTAAAAGGTGGTTGATCAGTGTGCGTGAGTGTTTGGGTAGGGGGCTGGGGTACATTAAAAACAACAAGACTTTAGGGTCTTGGGGTAGTTTGTGTCCCGTGATGGTGCGAATAACGTTCGTTATCTGGGCCCAGAATTTACTTATTATTAGGCATTGCCACCAGATGTGGCTTGTGGTTCCTTCCGCTTTCTTGCACCTCCAGCATGTGTTTGGTGCGTTTGGGAAGAATCTGTGGATGCGGGTTGGTGTGTAGTGCCATCTGGCTATTCGTTTGTAATTGCTCTCATGTGTGCTGTTGCTTTTGGATGTGCGGAAGACATTGGCGAATATTTTATACCACTCTTTGGATTGCATTTGTATCCCCAGCTCTGTTTCCCACTTGGATGTATAGGTAGGTAGGAGTTCGTCCTTTCGTCGGCATAATTGTTTATAAAAGGAGGATATGTGGCCCCTCCGGATGCTGTGTTGTGCGCATTGGGTCTCGTATAGGGTGTGGGTTCTATGGCCTTGTGATAGTGGTGGATTTGTGCTTAGAAAGTGTTTGAGTTGCTCGTGTCTCAGTCGCGTCATTCCCGTTTGCGATTCAGTGGGTAGTAGTTGTTCAAAGGGAGTGACCCCCTGGTCTGTTAGGACATCTCCCAAAGTCAGTGTATGAGCTTGTTTGGGGAAGTTTCTAAACGCCCTGTGGTCCATGCCTGGGGGGAAGGAGGGATTTCCCGTTAGTGGGTAGAGTGGTGATGGATGTGGTGCTAGGTGTTTGTCTCTTCTAATGGTCGACCAAAGTTTCACTGTATGTGTGATTGTGGGGTGAGAGGTCCCTGAGCGCGTTTTCGTGTCGGTCTTGTTAGCGAGCCACGGTATGGCATATATCGGTGTCGCGAGAAAGCTGGCCTCAATCTGTACCCATTGGGCTGTGTTTTTAGGGTATGACCATTCATAAATCCTCGTGAGGATAATGGCTTTGTGGTACGTTTCCAGATCTGGTAGGCCTAGTCCTCCTCGTTGTTTGCTTTTTGTGAGGCATTCGTATTGTAGCCTCGGGGGTCTACCTGACCATATAAAGTTGTTGAATAGTCGCCTGGAGAGGGAGAAGAAAGGCCTTGGTATTTTAATAGGCAAGGTTTGCATTATATATAGAAACTTGGGGAGAATCATCATCTTTAAGATGTGGATTCTGCAGAGCCAACCGAATTGTGGTTTATTCCACGATTTGAGTTCGGTATCTACTTTGTTTAGAAGGGTTGTGTAGTTAAGGGCGTATAGGCGTGACAGTGTGGTTGTGAGTTGGACTCCCAGGATATCTAATTGACTCTGTGGGCCAGTGGAATGGATAGGTGACGCGGAGCGCTGTTTGTGTGGCGTTCGGTATGTTGAGCGGGAGTATCTCGCTCTTGCCCATGTTTATTTTGTAATTGGAGACTGCATTATATGCCTCTATCTCTTGTATAAGGTGTTGTAGGGATGTTTTTGGATTAGATAGGGTGAACAGTAGGTCGTCCGCAAAAGCGGAGACCTTGTATTCCTGCTCTGCTATTTTAATGCCAGATATGTTTGGGTTGTCTCTTATTCCTTGTAGGAATGGCTCCATGGTGAGGATGAAGAGTAGTGGGGAGAGGGGACAGCCTTGCCTTGTACCATTGGTTATTTGTACGGTATCTGACAATTGGCCGTTCACCCGTACTTTTGCTCCCGGTTTTGAATATATGGCTGCGAGCCATTGTATCCATTGTTGGCCGAAGCCCAGAGTTTTTATTGTGGCCATGAGGAAGGACCAGTCTACCCTATCAAATGCCTTCTCGGCATCTATAGTTAGAATGAGGCTCTGGGGTCCCTTTCCTTTGGCTGTGTGTATTAGGCTTAGGAGTTTCGTAGTGTTATGTTTGGCCTCCCTATTCGGTACAAACCCTGATTGATCCGGGTGTATCAGTCCGTTCAGGAGTGGTTTCAGCCGGTTGGCCAGAATCTTAGTGAAGATTTTCAAATCACAATTTATTAGAGAGATTGGGCGGTAGCTCCCACACTCCTCTATGTCCTTTCCGGGTTTGGGGATCAATGTGATGTGGGCTTCTAAGGATTCTACTGGGAGTTTGTGTCCTAAAGCCAGTGAATTGAAGGCAGTGACAAAGGGTTTGCAGAGCAGATTTGTGAATGTTTTGAAGTACTTGGTAGTGAAGCCGTCGGGTCCTGGGCTCTTGCCTATGGGGAGGTTTTTAACTACCAGTCTAAATTCTTCGTCTGTTAGGGGTCCTTCAATGGATTGTCTTACGTTTGTGGGGATCGTTTGCGTTATTCTGTTAGAGAGGAAATGGGTAATTTCCTCTGGTCGTGGTGGCGTCTGTCTGAGGTTATACAGGTTTGTGTAGAAGGCGTGGAATTCTTTAAGTATGGCTGGGAGTAGGTGAGTGCGTGTCCCGTCTTTGCTTTTGATCGTGGTTATGTATGTGCGTTGCGTGTTTTGCTGAAGGGCTTTGGCTAGCATTCGCCCGCATTTCCCTCCTTGAGTGTAAAATGAATATTTGGTGTGAGTGAGTGATCGTTTGATTTTGGAATTTAACAGGGTTTGTAGGGTTGTGCGTTTGTCAACTAGTTGTTTATAGAGGTCTAGGGAGAGGTTGTGTTTGTGTGTCTGTTCAATGAGGCGGATATCTCGCAGGAGATCAGTGATTTGGGCATCTTTCTTTTTCTTGAGTTTGGAGGCTATAGCTATGATGTGTCCTCTCATTACTGATTTATGAGCTTCCCAGGTTATTGTCGGGGATATGGACGGGGATGTATTTTCCTCAA